GGCTGCTCAAGGGTGAAGCTCGATTCAGGCCTGGCCGCCCATCAAGGAGGCTGTTGACCTGGGTAACTGTACTACCACGAGGGTCTCTTGAAGCTTAACAGCACAAGCTTGGTTAAGAGTAATTGCAACAGTAATGTTGTCCCCAAACATGGCAAGCGCATGGTTAGGGGTTTCCTAAGCTAGGAACAAACGGTTGACACTCTTTCTAATAAATTGGAATTGCCATATTTTATCATAAATCGGAAAGTCATAATAGAAAACGCCTTACAGTTTGCTCCCTTGCTTTCCACGTTGACAGCTCCAACATCTCTTTTTTAATATATATGTTTGGTGTAGCAATTGCCCTTTGATTCAATGGTAAGTAGCAGCTTGTTCAGCTTCTCCAATTTGGTGAGAATCTCGGTGAGTGCACTAAGGAGATGCATCAGGCTGCTACTCTTTGGATTCTTTGGATCATTCTTCTGCAACAGCAGTGGTTGCCTCCATGCAACGTGTCAATATTAGTACATGCATTGGGCTCATTTACCATATGTTTCTTAGGCTTTCAACATTCCAAATGTTCTTCTTTGTTTTTGTCTGTCACCAAGAATGGAAAGTATAGTGTTGTTTTCAAGTGACGATGTAATTGACTACATTTTTAGCACATCACAGGTTCATGAGGTTCACAATAGCAAGTCTCATTCATGAGATCAAACTCTTGACGACATATGTAGCAAGTTCTTGAACTTACACACAGGTATAATTTCCATTATAACCAAAACTTTCCTTTAACATTGTAAGAATGCTATAGCAACCACTGAGCTTTGGAATAATAATGACGCAGCTGTGAACTGTGTTGTAACAAAACCTATTGTCACCAAGCACCACAACATTCCTAGTATGCATTACCGACATTTTTTGCTTTTTTGATTAATCAAATCTAACATAAATTCAAGTGGTGCTCCTGACAATAGTGGTATGTTGCACTTTTGCTTTCAAATGATATTTTAATTTGCATTTTAGTTGGCAAAACTTCTAATAGCATACTTGACATTAGTGGTATGTTTATTAAGTTTTGTTTGTCTCTTTTTAACTGATATAGCATGATCTAACACTCTTGCAGGAGGGTTGGCTAATACTAACATTGTTCCAGTTCATGCCAACCATGCAACACCTATCACTGTGATGGCATCTATTTTAATGGGTACATGATTTTCTCTTAACATGGTTTCTTACAACATTCTTTTAACAACGAAACTACATGTGGATTACTTTTGATTCAATGCTACCATTATGCAAAAAAACATTTTTTGGGTGATATTTTCTTACTATTTTTTGACACAGCAAAGGGTCACATTAGTGACATATCACAAGATAATCTGTGGTGTTCTATTACAAGTAGCATTTTCAAAGCCAGTGGCCACTCCTTAGTGGATCAAATTGCTGACTTGCAACTGCTATCTGGAGCTCAGCCATTGCTACTATACACCCTATCTCGCTATGGAACTTATGATGGCTTCTGCAACAGCTTGTGGAGAACTAGCTCTACCACCTTCCCCAATGTCGACTTCAATGATATTGTTCATATTACTACAGATTTTCTTTCTCAACATGTTGCTGATATGTTTGGTGGTCTATTCCTTTATTGATATTATTGTTTCCTCCCTGGTCTGTGAGTTCCCACCACTGAGGCCACCTATGCTTGATATAATTCCTATATCCAACTTGGTTCTTTTGCATGATTTCATGCTAGAAGCCACATGATCAGCATTTTGCACTGCTGCAGCATACTTCCTCAGTTGACCTAAATGAGCAGAGCACAAACATGCTTACGACTTTGAGTATATTTACAAGGTATGCTTGAGCTTTCAATACAGCTGTTAATAATAACTACCATACTTTGGTTCAAGTTGCAGCATGTATGTCTTTCGTGTATCATAAAGTCAAATCAGAATGGTTTGGATGTCAAATGCCACTCAAAATATTTCACAACATTGAAGGAACAAGTGATCATAATGTTTCCAAGATTGGACCTCCAACTATAGTTTACAATGTGCCTGGACTAGCACCATGGAATGCAATTCATGACCACTTGAAATCCATAACTTCTATGTATCGAAGAGACTTTGATGGGGCATGTATGTCATATTTATTTGTTCAATGGCTTATATTTATTCATTTAAGATAAAGGGATGCTTAATTCCTTTTGCCTATCTCTATGTCCTTTGGCTGGTGTGTTTGCCACAAATTTTGGCTATCTAGGATTAACTTGCAGATTGGACACTGCATCAAGTGCAACAATGACCATCCTTTTTCATAGTTATATGTGTATATGCCCGGTTAATATCCACTTATAGCAACAGCACAGCACGTAACAATGGATGATGCTCTCATTGACCGTGTATATGGCTTGATGGCCATCACCTTTCTTCAAATGTTTACTTCAACTGATTTATCTATGGCCATCAAACTCTATAAAGACAATCCTTATCCAGAAGGCATCTTTCTTTTGTCAGCCACTGTAAATGGGATCTCTAAAGTTATGGCCTTCAAATCGAGGTAAATACATGAAAATCAGTTATTAGAAAAAAAACCTTTCTATGCGTTTCATGTATCAATGCTTGGTTTTCTTAATAGTAGTGTTACCTATTAATTTAATTGATCAAATAAAAGTTTATAATTTATAAACACAAGATTAATCTTATTTCATATCAACTATTAGATGGTAGAATAAAAAAGAATATACTAGAAAGTGTTTAAGCAAGTTTATAAATTATAAACATGTTTATAAATAATAAATACAAGATTAATCTAAATGAATAATAACTGCTAGATGGTAGAATATTCAAGCATATTCTAGGTATATTCACTACCATCCCAGTTCCTCTACAAATTTGCTTAAGCAAACCAAAAAAAACAAAAATAAATAAAAATGCAAATGTATTGTGTTATAATATAAAATATGTATGTGTAGCTAGTAGAAAGCTTTGGAGTTGGTCAATAGGAACTAATAATGGCACATAGAGATATTCCAGCCATAAGGTAGCAAATGGTTAGCAAAGACCAGCTAGTACAACTCCTTCCTTTCTCTCTATGTGTTCTCTTTCCTTGTCTCATTGTTAGTATTTGGAACAATATTTGGAATAGGCCTTGGGATGATGGACTATAGCTGCCAGCAACAACAACAATGGCAAGCTTTAATGAGTGTAGGTCTAAATCTAGCAACAACTATAGTGACTTGCAATTGAATTGGGTTCGAGGGGCACAAAGTAGGCCATACAGTAGCGAAAAAACATCTAGTGTATGTGATGCAACAATTACAGACACTACCCAAATAAGTGTCCACAACCAGTGATGAATTGAGACAAGTGCTAGTATTGTCGGCAAATTAATCATCACTAGGAAGATTATTTTTGCAAGCCAGGAAATCTGGCAATCCATGCAAGTTACATCAAAACCTTGCCATCATCACCACCATCTTCGGCTTGAGCACCAGTTTTCTTTCAACACCCATTTTTTCTCCTCCAGTTTAGACAATGAGCTATGAGCCAGCATCCAAGGAAACAGATTAAATACCAGCCTATATGTGGCATCTGTCAGACATAAGGCTTCCACAAGCAGGACAATTGCTTGCACAAGCTTAAGCCAAGTAGAAAGCAATGCAATTTTCATCCAACAAGCTGCACTAGAATCTAGAGTTATGACACGGGCACAGTAGCATCAGTATAAAGAACCGCAAGGAGAAAAGAGAGAGCAAGCAGCCAAGATTAGATCCTTCAACTACAATTAACCAAGATAAACCAATCCCTGATCCCAAAATAACTACTCTGGCTAAGCTGTTACATAAAAAGTGGAAACACGTGCTGAATTTAGAAACACAGCCTTACAACATTCTTCAAGACTTGGACAGTCAACACCTGATTATCACATTCGCTCATAAAATTTATTTTTATATTCATCCAACATTTGCTGGGCAAGTACTAATTCAATTATATTGCAAGATGTATGTTTGAAAATTTGTATCTATAAAGATTATTTTGTGAGTCACAGATCTCAAACAGAGTCCCCTTTTAAAGCTAAAGTTACCAATAAGAAAACTGTAGAAGTGTATGTTTCCTTGTAACTCATGCCACTTATGCCCAAGCAAGGAGGCTGCCACCATTGCAAACTACTTATGGTGTTTGAGGATGAGGACAAGATCATTTCTTGAGATCCCGAGAATCTCAGAGTTAAAGAATAAAAGTGGGAAGCAATGGGAGTGATGGTTAGGCTGAGCCTCACCCCACCCCACCCTTGGGGATTCTACATTCCTGTGAGTGAGATTCCACATTAGCATCTGCAGTGTTGTGAGGCTGGGCCATGTGCATGTGCTTGTTTTGCATTGTGAAGCTGCCATTCACAAGCAAAGAGCAACCTAACTGTGTTAGCAAGATATCAAGGAAGCATTGCACATATTAGATATACTAAGTTTGTTCATTACACCTTTCTAGGGTACAAGCTTGCATAAAGTAGCAGCACAGCTCCTGCAATCTAGGGATGTCTACCACTTCCTAGGAAAGATCTTGTTCCAAGTCTCCTTGGGACCACTCAAATACCATCTTGTTTGGTAGTTGCTCTGGCTGACGAGCTGGACTTATTCCACACTGTGAGCTGCCCAAACGAACATCTGGGCAGTCTCAAAGGATTGCAAGATTGTGACAGTGATCCAAGTTCTCACTATCCTTCCAAGAACCTTTCATGTCTAGGTTCTTTGAGCTCGATGGACTTTGTCTAAACTTCAAAAGCTTAAGAGTTTGCTGAAGCATTGTTTCAAACTCCTTGATTCCATGTAGATTGTGGCAAGCAATGTCAGATCGAAAATCGAGGTGGAATCACCCATCCTCGGGGCAAGTCCGTGACCGCGATCATATACGGCAATGCCGTCATCACCAAAAGAGAGGCACCAAAGTCAGAAGAGGTGGAGGGGGGCAGCTCATAAGAAACAGGGATGCAGGTTTTGGTTCGTCTTTGGAACACATTAGGGCTCTGCTCAAGGAGTTGCTCCCACAGCACAACTCGCAGCGCTACAGCAAGAAGCACCACTATTCCAACTGTCACCTAGCAAGATTACTGAAGAGCAATGGTACGGGCTGATCGAACAGATACCAGATGCCACGCCTCCCTATGATCGGTAAGGATTCTCGACCTTGTCTTGTGTCTAAGTTTCTCGACATTCCAGGTATAATCGAAAGATGTTTCCAGGAGGGAGAGCGCCGTGCGTGTAGTTGGAGGTTAAAGATGTGTACGCCACATTGGTTTTCCAAGACAAGGGCCGGCAAGCATTTTCTCTAGGCTCTTGTGTTCATTTGCCCTTTTCATGCTGTACAAGGCAGAGTGTAAACACGATGAGCAGGAACCAGAGTGGGGGGAGTTCCAGTTAGAAATGGGCTTAGAGTTGGAGGAGGATGAGGAGGCACAGGATGAGGAGGCCGTTTTTCTGGACCTGGAGTTTCCACATGATGGCATTGATCAACCTACTAACGATGTCACCTCCTCTGAGGAGGAACAGGCCGAGCTTGATTGGCATTCAGGCATTCTAGCGTTCACCACCTCGATCCTGGATGTGCGTACACTAAGATTGGGAATTGATGTGAAGCACCGCGATCTGCTACAGGTATGTAAAGCTGGTTAGTATCTGAAATCTGCGCTAAGATCTGGTACAGGTTTTCATGTACGTGGATCACTGCCAGCTTAGGGAAGCAAGCAAGACCTCCAACATATCTTCATGTATGTACCAGTTTCTAGTTTCGTGTTTTGAAATCAATTTCTGTTTGTTTTCTGTACGCCATGGACATGAGGGAATGGCGATATGCCATTTCTGAGATCGATGGATATGTGCAGGTCAAGGGAAACCAGCTGGTTGAAGCTTCCCTGCATTCGTTCCCTGACTCACCCAGAGAGCCGATATCGGAAGAGGCCTTCACCAAGCAGGAGGTTCGGGATAAGTTTGCAGCCTGGAGAGCATCCTTGTTATCGAAGGACCTTACGATTCCGGATGGGTTGCACCCTGTTGGCCGGTTGTACTACTGCTCCAAGGTGAGTTTTTGTCGTGTGTTTAAAGTCTTTTGCCTTCAACGTGCCAAGGTGAGTTTTGTTCGTGTGTTTAGAGTCTGTTGCCTTGAACAGGCATGGGGGATGCCGAGCTTTCAAAGCCATCTCAGTGGGAGAGCTCAAGTTGTAGTCGGGTATCCTGATTGGCCAGCGAGTGCGGCGCTGGACTCCAAGGAAAGTTTGGCAGTTCGCACCTGATGGTGGGCATGGGCCGTGCTGAGGCCCCATGGATTAACGTGAGGTTTTCTCGTGGAGGTAAGCTTTTGACCTTTGTTCCTTCCTCTTGACAAGCTTTTCCTTCTCTTAGGTGTAAAGTGAGCGTGTCAACTTAGACTTCTAACTACAGCCTGTAATATCTTAGAATCATTGTCTTTAGCCAGAGCGTGTTTCTAAATTGTTTGGATCCCATATTGTTCTGCAAAAATTACAAAAAGATTCACGTAAACTACGCATTTTCAAATGATGCTTTGTTCTCCGAACGAATGTCCTATGCCCGTTCTATTTCTATGCGTGCATTTGCCGGAAGGGGCAGCGCAAGCCTCCATAGTAGTATGGTCCAAGCTTGCCTGATTTCAGCGCTCCCAGCTCCGCCAGCTTGTATCCCTTCTCGAATGCTGGTGGCCGATACACATTCACGTTGAGCTGCCGGTACTCTTCCGGATTGGCAGCGGGATTAGGACACCAGTCCACCTCAATGCTGCCCTTTGCGTCCTCCACACGTCTGGGAGGCAAGAACGCGGAGACGGAGCTCCCGGCCAGCAGCTTGAACGCACCCAAGATGATCCACTCCACAATTGCTGGAGGCTTTTCCAATCCAACAGCGCTCCTGATTGTGGGATCGATGAGTGCACAGATCCCAGTCTCGACCAGCGGCTGCACGGGGCGAGGAAATGCATCCAGCACCAGATGCTTGAGATCCTGGACGATGCTCTTGTTCTTGTCCGTGAAGATGGCGTTCTTGGCCTCGTAATCGCGAATGTACTCCCGCATCTCTGGAATGCTATCTGGGATGGTTGTGATGCCCATCCTCACGCCCACGTCGTGCCACACAACATACGCGGCCTCCTTCTCGTTGTCGGTCCACTTGCGGAATCCAAATCTCTCGGAGAAATCAATGGGGCTGACCACGTTGAGGCAGAGGACGTAGGCGAATTGGTCGTTTGGGATCTTGAATTTGTTGTGGATTCCATTCAATCTCCTCACCGCGTATGAGCCGCGATCGCTGTCGACGTGGTGGTGGATCATCTCGCTCACCAGAATGTTGGTCTCGGCGGCGCGCTTCTGCGGATCCTTGAGGCCGTACTTGGTCTTGAAGAGCAGATTTGTGATCCCCGGGATGCCGAGCGTGCGGATTGTGCCAAACTCGAGCGCCTTTTGCGAGAGGAAGGGGAATTCCACCGAGTACATGTACCACAAGATCTTGTGTGCGTCTCTCACGGGGTGGAGCGACGCTAGAAATCGTGCCCTCTCTTCTCTCTTGCGGATACACACCATCTTCCATGCTGCAGCCATCACGAGAAACGCAATCATCAACACGATTGCAGCCATTTCGAAATGGTGAAAACTGTTTGATCGATCTGATCAACTTGATTGGAGAATGTTTTCTACTCCTCTGTGGGTTGAGGAAACAGAGGCTGGAGAAGGGTCTTTTATACTATCAGAGCTATTAGAGATCACATTTCACGTTTTTTATTTCCGTGTGATCCGTATTCTGTACGTTACACACATAGCCACATACTTGGAGAGGAATCTTGTTGTTTTATACGGTGCACGTTTTCCATACAGTTATCTGGTCCATGCAATTTATCGGTCCTACCAACTTGAACGTTTCACGTTTAGAACAGGATTCTGGTTCCTTAATTACAGAGATAAACTATATTTAAATTAGTATATTCGTTATTTACCAAAGTTTTTTTGTTGTTTCTCTTAAACTAGTATACAGTTTAATCTAACATAATTTCAATAATACAATATCGTTTTTCGGTTTATTCATATTTATAAGAGATTTAAATATATAATGTGTTTTTATTGTAATGAATAATCTAGAATTTTCTAAAAGGTATATGGTCAAGTTTATTTTCTTTTATATTATTTATTTTTCAATTTAAAGTCATGGTTATTATAGATCAACTTCTATGCATTTGGTGTTGAGGTTGGAATTCTTCATGGAGCAACTCGTGTTCTTCTTTCCTGCCATCATCCTGACTTTGCTCTCACTGTAGGATTCAGGCCTGGCCGCCCATCAAGGAGGCTGTTGACCTGGGTAACTGTACTACCACGAGGGTCTCTTGAAGCTTAACAGCACAAGCTTGGTTAAGAGTAATTGCAACAGTAATGTTGTCCCCAAACATGGCAAGCGCATGGTTAGGGGTTTCCTAAGCTAGGAACAAACGGTTGACACTCTTTCTAATAAATTGGAATTGCCATATTTTATCATAAATCGGAAAGTCATAATAGAAAACGCCTTACAGTTTGCTCCCTTGCTTTCCACGTTGACAGCTCCAACATCTCTTTTTTAATATATATGTTTGGTGTAGCAATTGCCCTTTGATTCAATGGTAAGTAGCAGCTTGTTCAGCTTCTCCAATTTGGTGAGAATCTCGGTGAGTGCACTAAGGAGATGCATCAGGCTGCTACTCTTTGGATTCTTTGGATCATTCTTCTGCAACAGCAGCGGTTGCCTCCATGCAACGTGTCAATATTAGTACATGCATTGGGCTCATTTACCATATGTTTCTTAGGCTTTCAACATTCCAAAAGTTCTTCTTTGTTTTTGTCTGTCACCAAGAATGGAAAGTATAGTGTTGTTTTCAAGTGACGATGTAATTGACTACATTTCTAGCACATCACAGGTTCATGAGGTTCACAATAGCAAGTCTCATTCATGAGATCAAACTCTTGACGACATATGTAACAAGTTCTTGAACTTACACACAGGTATAATTTCCATTATAACCAAAACTTTCCTTTAACATTGTAAGAATGCTATAGCAACCACTGAGCTTGGGAATAATAATGACGCAGCTGTGAACTGTGTTGTAACAAAACCTATTGTCACCAAGCACCACAACATTCCTAGTATGCATTACTGACATTTTTTACTTTTTTGATTAATCAAATCTAACATAAATTCAAGTGGTGCTCCTGACAATAGTGGTATGTTGCACTTTTGCTTTCAAATGATATTTTAGTTTGCATTTTAGTTGGCAAAACTTCTAATAGCATACTTGACATTAGTGGTATGTTTATTAAGTTTTGTTTGTCTCTTTTTAACTGATATAGCATGATCTAACACTCTTGCAGGAGGGTTGGCTAATATTAACATTGTTCCACTTCATGCCAACCATGCAACACCTATCACTGTGATGGCATCTATTTTAACAGGTACATGATTTTCTCTTAACATGGTTTCTTACAACATTCTTATAACAACGAAACTACATGTGGATTACTTCACTTCAACTTTTGATTCAATGCTACCATTATGCAAAAAAACAATTTTTGGGTGATATTTTCTTACTATTTTTTGACACAGCAAAGTGTCACATTAGTGACATATCACAAGATAATCTGTGGTGTTCTATTACAAGTAGCATTTTCAAAGCCAGTGGCCACTCCTTAGTGGATCAAATTGCTGACTTGCAACTGCTATCTGGAGCTCAGCCATTGCTACTATACACCCTATCTCGCTATGGAACTTATGATGGCTTCTACAACAGCTTGCGGAGAACTAGCTCTACCACCTTCCCCAATGTCGACTTCAATGATATTGTTCATATTACTACAGATTTTCTTTCTCAACATGTTGCTGATATGTTTGGTGGTCTATTCCTTTATTGATATTATTGTTTCCTCCCTGGTCTGTGAGTTCCCACCACTGAGGCCACCTATGCTTGATATAATTCCTATATCCAACTTGGTTCTTTTGCATGATTTCATGCTAGAAGCCACATGATCAGCATTTTGCACTGCTGCAGCATACTTCCTCAGTTGACCTAAATGAGTAGAGCACAAACATGCTAACGACTTTGAGTATATTTACAAGGTATGCTTGAGCTTTCAATACAGCTGTTAATAATAACTACCATACTCCGGTTCAAGTTGCAGCATGTATGTCTTTCGTGTATCATAAAGTCAAATCAGAATGGTTTGGACGTCAAATGCCACTCAAAATATTTCACAACATTGAAGGAACAAGTGATCATAATGTTTCCAAGATTGGACCTCCAACTATAGTTTACAATGTGCCTGGACTAGCACCATGGAATGCAATTCATGACCACTTGAAATCCATAACTTCTATGTATCGAAGAGACTTTGATGGGGTATGTATGTCATATTTATTTGTTCAATGGCTTATATTTATTCATTTAAGATAAAGGGATGCTTAATTCCTTTTGCCTATCTCTGTGTCCTTTGGCTGGTGTGTTTGCCACAAATTTTGGCTATCTAGGATTAACTTGCAGATTGGACACTGCATCAAGTGCAACAATGACCATCCTTTTTCATAGTTATATGTGTATATGCCCGGTTAATATCCACTTATAGCGACAGCACAGCACGTAACAATGGATGATGCTCTCATTGACCGTGTATATGGCTTGATGGCCATCACCTTTCTTCAAATGTTTACTTCAACTGATTTATCTATGGCCATCAAACTCTATAAAGACAATCCTTATCCAGAAGGCATCTTTCTTTTGTCACCCACTGTAAATGGGATCTCTAAAGTTATGGCCTTCAAATCGAGGTAAATACATGAATATCAGTTATTAGAAAAAAAAACTTTCTATGCGTTTCATGTAGCAATGCTTGGTTTTCTTAATAGTAGTGTTACCTATTAATTCAATTGATCAAATAAAAGTTTATAATTTATAAACACAAGATTAATCTTATTTCATATCAACTATTAGATGGTAGAATAAAAAAGAATATACTAGAAAGTGTTTAAGCAAGTTTATAAATTATAAACATGTTTATAAATAATAAATACAAGATTAATCTAAATGAATAATAACTGGTAGAATATTCAAGCATATTCTAGGTACAGTTCCTCTACAAATTTGCTTAAGCAAACCAAAAAAGACAAAAATAAATAAAAATGCAAATGTATTGTGTTATAATATAAAATATGTATGTGTAGCTAGTAGAAAGCTTTGGAGTTGGTCAATAGGAACTAATAATGGCACATAGAGATATTCCAGCCATAAGGTAGCAAATGTTTAGCAAAGACCAGCTAGTACAACTCCTTCCTTTCTCTCTATGTGTTCTCTTTCCTTGTCTCATTGATAGTATTTGGAACAATATTTGGAATAGGCCTTGGGATGATGGACTATAGCTGCTAGCAACAACAACAATGGCAAGCTTTAATGAGTGTAGGTCTAAATCTAGCAACAACTATAGTGACTTGCAATTGAATTGGGTTCGAGGGGCACAAAGTAGGCCATACAGTAGCGAAAAAACATTTAGTGTATGTGATGCAACAATTACAGACACTACCCAAATAAGTGTCCACAACCAGTGATGAATTGAGACAAGTGCTAGTATTCTCGGCAAATTAATCATCACTAGGAAGATTATTTTTGCAAGCCAGGAAATCTGGCAATCCATGCAAGTTACATCAAAACCTTGCCATCATCACCACCATCTTCGGCTTGAGCACCAGTTTTCTTTCAACACTCATTTTCTCCTCCAGTTCAGACAATGAGCTATGAGCCAGCATCCAAGGAAACAGATTAAATACCAGCCTATATGTGGCATCTGTCAGACATAAGGCTTCCACAAGCAGGACAATTGCTTGCACAAGCTTAAGCCAAGTAGAAAGCAATGCAATTTTCATCCAACAAGCTGCACTAGAATCTAGAGTTATGACACGGGCACAGTAGCATCAGTATAAAGAACCGCAAGGAGAAAAGAGAGAGCAAGCAGCCAAGATTAGATCCTTCAGCTACAATTAACCAAGATAAACCAATCCCTGATCCCAAAATAACTACTCTGGCTAAGCTGTTACACAAAAAGTGGAAACACGTGCTGAATTTAGAAACACAGCCTTACAACATTCTTCAAGACTTGGACAGTCAACGCCTGATTATCACATTTGCTCATAAAATTTATTTTTATATTCACCCAACATTTGCTGGGCAAGTACTAATTCAATTATATTGCAAGATGTATGTTTGAAAATTTGTATCTATAAAGATTATTTTGTGAGTCACAGATCTCAAATAGAGTCCCCTTTTAAAGCTAAGGTTACCAAGAAGAAAACTGTAAAAGTGTATGTTTCCTTGTAACTCATGCCACTTTTGCCCAAGCAAGGAGGCTGCCACCATTGCAAACTACTTATGGTGTTTGAGGATGAGGACAAGATCATTTCTTGAGATCCCGAGAATCTCAAAGTTAAAGAATAAAAGTGGGAAGCAATGGGGAGTGATGGTTAGGCTGAGCCTCACCCCACCCCACCCTTGGGGATTCTACATTCCTGTGAGTGAGATTCCACATTAGCATCTGCAGTGTGTTGTGAGGCTGGGCCATGTGCATGTGCTTGTTTTGCATTGTGAAGCTGCCATTCACAAGCAAAGAGCAACCGAACTGTGTTAGCAAGATATCAAGGAAGCATTGCACATATTAGATATACTAAGTTTGTTCATTACACCTTTCTAGGGTACAAGCTTGCATAAAGTAGCAGCACAGGTCCTGCAATCTAGGGATGTCTACCACTTCCTAGGAAAGATCTTGTTCCAAGTCTCCTTGGGACCACTCAAATACCATCTTGTTTGGTAGTTGCTCTGGCTGACGAGCTGGGTGACAAATATTTGACTTATTCCACACTGTGAGCTGCCCAAACGAACATCTGGGCAGTCTCAAAGGATTGCAAGATTGTGACAGCGATCCAAGTTCTCACTATCCTTCCAAGAACCTTTCATGTCTAGGTTCTTTGAGCTCGATGGACTTTGTCTAAACTTCAAAAGCTTAAGAGTTTGCTGAAGCATTGTTTCAAACTCCTTGATTCCATGTAGATTGTGGCAAGCAATGTCAGATCGAAAATCGAGGTGGAATCACCCATCCTCGGGGCAAGTCCGTGACCGCGATCATATACGGCAATGCCGTCATCACCAAAAGAGAGGCACCAAAGTCAGAAGAGGTGGAGGGGGGCAGCTCATAAGAAACAGAGGGATGCAGGTTTTGGTTCGTCTTTGGAACACATTAGGGCTCTGCTCAAGGAGTTGCTCCCACAGCACAACTCGCAGCGCTACAGCAAGAAGCACCACTATTCCAACTGTCACCTAGCAAGATTACTGAAGAGCAATTTAAGAAGAGGTACGGGCTGATCGAACAGATACCAGATGCCACGCCTCCCTATGATCGGTAAGGATTCTCGACCTTGTCTTGTGTCTAAGTTTCTCGACATTCCAGGTATAATCGAAAGATGTTTCCAGGAGGGAGAGCGCCGTGCGTGTAGTTGGAGGTTAAAGATGTGTACGCCACATTGGTTTTCCAAGACAAGGGCCGGCAAGCATTTTCTCTAGGCTCTTGTGTTCATTTGCCCTTTTCATGCTGTACAAGGCAGAGTGTAAGCACGATGAGCAGGAACCAGAGTGAGGGGAGTTCCAGTTAGAAATGGGCTTAGAGTTGGAGGAGGATGAGGAGGCACAGGATGAGGAGGCCGTTTTTCTGGACCTGGAGTTTCCACATGATGGCATTGATCAACCTACTAACGATGTCACCTCCTCTGAGGAGGAACAGGCCGAGCTTGATTGGCATTCAGGCATTCTAGCGTTCACCACCTCGATCCTGGATGTGCGTACATTAAAATTGGGAATTGATGTGAAGCACCGCGATCTGCTACAGGTATGTAAAGCTGGTTAGTATCTGAAATCTGCGCTAAGATCTGGTACAGGTTTTCATGTACGTGGATCACTGCCAGCTTAGGGAAGCAAGCAAGACCTCCAACATATCTTCATGTATGTACCAGTTTCTAGTTTCGTGTTTTGAAATCAATTTCTGTTTGTTTTGTGTATGCCATGGACATGAGGGAATGGCGATATGCCATTTCTGAGATCGATGGATATGTGCAGGTCAAGGGAAACCAGCTGGTTGAAGCTTCTCTGCATTAGTTCCCTGACTCACCCACAGAGCCGATCTCGGAAGAGTTCACACGCGCCTTCACCACGCAGGAGGTTCGGGATAAGTTTGCAGCCTGGAGAGCATCCTTGTTATCGGAGGACATTACGATTCCGGATGGGTCGCACCCTGTTGGCCGGTTGCTCCAAGGTGAGTTTTTGTCGTGTGTTTAAAGTCTGTTGCCTTGAACAGGCATGGGGGATGCCGAGCTTTGAAAGCGGCTTTGCAGCCATCTCAGTGGGAGAGCTCAAGTTGTACTCGGGTACCCTGATTGGCCAGTGAGTGCGGCGCTGGACTCGAAGGAAAGTTTGGTAGTTCGCACCTGATGGTGGGCATGCTAGCCCCATGGATTAACGTGAGGTTTTCTCGTGGAGGTAAGCTTTTGATCTTTATTCCTTCCGCTTGACAAGCTTTTCGTTCTCTTAGGTGTAAGCGAGCGTGTCAACTTAGACTTCTAACTACAACCTGCAATATTTTTGTCTCTGTGTTTCTAAATTGTTTGGATCCCGTACTATTAATAATGGTTTTGTGCTATCTGCAAAAATTACAAAAAGATTCATCATTTTTAAATGATGCTTGGTTCTCCGAACGAATGTCCTATGCCCGTTCTATTGCTATGCGTGCATTTGCCGGAAGGGGCAGCGCAAGCCTCCATCGTAGTATGGTCCAAGCTTGCCTGATTTCAGCGCTCCCAGCTCCGCCAGCTTGTATCCCTTCTCGAATGCTGGTGGCCGATACACATTCACGTTGAGCTGCCGGTACTCTTCCGGATTGGCAGCGGGATTAGGACACCAGTCCACCTCAATGCTGCCCTTTGCATCCTCCACACGTCTGGGAGGCAAGAACGCGGACACGAAGCTCCCGGCCAGCAGCTTGAACGCACCCAAGATGATCCACTCCACAATTGCTGGAGGCTTTTCCAATCCAACAGCGCTCCTGATTGTGGGATCGATGAGTGCACAGATCCCAGTCTCGACCAGCGGCTGCACGGGGCGAGGAAATGCATCCAGCACCAGATGCTTGAGATCCTGGACGATGCTCTTGTTCTTGTCCGTGAAGATGGCGTTCTTGGCCTCGTAATCGCGAATGTACTCCCGCATCTCTGGAATGCTATCTGGGATGGTTGTGATGCCCATCCTCACGCCCACGTCGTGCCACACAACATACGCGGCCTCCTTCTCGTTGTCGGTCCACTTGCGGAATCCAAATCTCTCGGAGAAATCAATGGGGCTGACCACGTTGAGGCAGAGGACGTAGGCGAATTGGTCGTTTGGGATCTTGAATTTGTTGTGGATTCCATTCAATCTCCTCACCGCGTATGAGCCGCGATCGCTGTCGACGTGGTGGTGGATCATCTCGCTCACCAGAATGTTGGTCTCGGCGGCGCGCTTCTGCGGATCCTTGAGGCCGTACTTGGTCTTGAAGAGCAGATTTGTGATCCCCGGGATGCCGAGCGTGCGGATTGTGCCAAACTCGAGCGCCTTTTGCGAGAGGAAGGGGAATTCCACCGAGTACATGTACCACAAGATCTTGTGTGCGTCTCTCACGGGGTGGAGCGACGCTAGAAATCGTGCCCTCTCTTCTCTCTTGCGGATACACACCATCTTCCATGCTGCAGCCATCACGAGAAACGCAATCATCAACACGATTGCAGCCATGTCGAAATGGTGAAAACTGTTTGATCGATCTGATCAACTTGATTGGAGAATGTTTTCTACTCCTCTGTGGGTTGAGGAAACAGAGGCTGGAGAAGGGTCTTTTATACTATCAGAGCTATTAGAGATCACATTTCACGTTTTTTATTTCCGTGTGATCCGTATTCTGTACGTTACACACATAGCCACATACTTGGAGAGAAATCTTGTCGTTTTATACGGTGCACGTTTTCCATACAGTTATCTGGTCCATGCAATTTATCGGTCCTACCAACTTGAACGTTTCACGTTTAGAACAGGATTCTGGTTCCTTAATTACAGATTTCCTAGAAACCAGAGATAGTCTATATTTAAATTAGTATACTCGTGATTTACCAAATTGTAGTCCAGTTTGTTTCTCTTAAACTAGTATACAGTTTAATCTAGCATAATTTCAAAGTAAACTATTAAATACAATATGGTTTTTTGGTTTATTCATTTTTATAAGAGATTTAAATGAATAACGTATGGATTGTAATGAATAATCTAGAATTTTTAAAAGGTATATGGTCAAGTTTAGTTGTCAAATTAAAGTCATGATTATTATAGATCAACTTCTGTATAAAGCTCTTGGAGCGGCCATGCCGGATGGATGACACCACTGGCGGCTAGATCCATGGAGTGCACTGCTCGTCGATTCAGGCCAGGCCGCCCATCAAGGAGGCCGTTGACCTGCACATTGGGTAACTGTGACTTGGTGTGACTTGGCAGCTTCTTACTACCACGAGGGTCTCTTGAAGCTTAACAGCACAAGCTTGGTTAAGAGTCATTGCAACAGTAATGTTGTCCCCAAACATGGCAAGCGCATGGTTAGGGGTTTACTAAGCTAGGAACAAACGGTTGACACTCTTTCTAATAAATTGGACTTGCCACATTTTATCATAAATTGGAAAGTCATAATAGAAAAAGCCTTACAGTTTGCTCCCTTGCTTTCCACGTTGACAGCTCCAGCATCTCTTTTTTAATATATATGCTTGGTGTAGCAATTGCCCTTTGATTTAACGGTAAGCAGCAGCTTGTTCAGCTTCTCCAATTTGGTGACTTTCCCAGTGAGTGCACTAAGGAGATGCATCAGGCTGCAGTGTTGCTACTGCTACTCTTTGGATTGTTCAGATCATTCTTCTGCAACAGCAGCGGAATATTAGTATATGCATGGGGCCCATTTACCATATGTTTCTTAGGCTTTCAACATTCCGAACATCTGGGCTGTCTCAAAGGATTGCAAGGTTGTGACAGTGATCCAAGTTCTCACTATCCTTCCAAGAACCTTTAATGTCTAGGTTCTTTGAGCTCGATGGCCTTTGTCTAAACTTCAAAAGCTTAAGAGTTTGCTAAAGCATTGTTTCAAACTCCTTGATTCCATGTAGATTGTGGCAAGCAATGTCAGATCGAAAATCGAGGTGGAATCACCCATCCTCGGGGCAAGTCCGTGACCTCGATCATATACGGCAATGCCGTCATCACCAAAAGAGAGGCACCAAAGTCAGAAGAGGTGGAGGGGGGCAGCTCATAAGAAACAGAGGGATGCAGGTTTTGGTTCGTTTTTGGAACGCATTAGGGCTCTGCTCAAGGAGTTGCTCCCACAGCACAACTCGCAGCGCTACAGCAAGAAACACCACTATTCCAAGTGTCACCTAGCAAGATTACTAAAGAGCAATTTAAGAAGAGGTACAGGCTGATCGAACAGATCCCAGATGCCACGCCTCCAAGAATCGGTAAGGATTCTTGGCCTCGTCTTGTGTCTAAGTTTCTCGACATTCCAGGTATAATCGAAAGAGGTTTCCAGGAAGGGAGAGCGCCGTGCATGTGGTTGGAGGTGTACGCCACATTGGTTTTCCAAGACAAGGGCCGGCAAGCATTTTCTCTAGGCTCTTGTGTTCATTTGCCCTTTTCATGCTGTACAAGGCAGAGTGTAAGCACGATGAGCAGGAACCAGAGTGAGGGGAGTTCCAGTTAGAAATGGGCTTAGAGTTGGAGGAGGATGAGGAGGCACAGGATGAGGAGGCCGTTTTTCTGGACCTGGAGTTTCCACATGATGGCATTGATCAACCTACTAACAATGTCACCTCCTCTGAGGAGGAACAGGCCGAGCTTGATTGGCATTCAGGCATTCTAGCGTTCACCACCTCGATCCTGGATGTGCGTACACTAAGATTGGGAATTTGATGTGAAGCACCGCAATCTGCTACAGGTATGTAAAGCTGGTTAGTATCTGACATCTGCGCTAAGATCTGGTACAGGTTTTCGTGTACGTGGATCACTGCTAGCTTAGGGAAGCAAGCAAGACCTCCAACATATCTTCATGTATGTACCAGTTTCGTGTTTCGTGTTTTGAAATCAATTTCTGTTTGTTTTCTGTATGCCATGGATATGAGGGAATGGCGATATGCCATTTCTGAGATCGATGAATATGTGCAGGTCAAGGGAAACCAGCTGGTTGAAGCTTCTCTGCATTAGTTCCCTGACTCACCCACAGAGCCGATCTCGGAAGAGTTCACACGCGCCTTCACCACGCAGGAGGTTCGGGATAAGTTTGCAGCCTGGAGAGCATCCTTGTTATCGGAGGACATTACGATTCCGGATGGGTCGCACCCTGTTGGCCGGTTGCTCCAAGGTGAGTTTTTGTCGTGTGTTTAAAGTCTGTTGCCTTGAACAGGCATGGGGGATGCCGAGCTTTGAAAGCGGCTTTGCAGCCATCTCAGTGGGAGAGCTCAAGTTGTACTCGGGTACCCTGATTGGCCAGTGAGTGCGGCGCTGGACTCGAAGGAAAGTTTGGTAGTTCGCACCTGATGGTGGGCATGCTAGCCCCATGGATTAACGTGAGGTTTTCTCGTGGAGGTAAGCTTTTGATCTTTATTCCTTCCGCTTGACAAGCTTTTCGTTCTCTTAGGTGTAAGCGAGCGTGTCAACTTAGACTTCTAACTACAACCTGCAATATTTTTGTCTCTGTGTTTCTAAATTGTTTGGATCCCGTACTATTAATAATGGTTTTGTGCTATCTGCAAAAATTACAAAAAGATTCATCATTTTTAAATGATGCTTGGTTCTCCGAACGAATGTCCTATGCCCGTTCTATTGCTATGCGTGCATTTGCCGGAAGGGGCAGCGCAAGCCTCCATCGTAGTATGGTCCAAGCTTGCCTGATTTCAGCGCTCCCAGCTCCGCCAGCTTGTATCCCTTCTCGAATGCTGGTGGCCGATACACATTCACGTTGAGCTGCCGGTACTCTTCCGGATTGGCAGCGGGATTAGGACACCAGTCCACCTCAATGCTGCCCTTTGCATCCTCCACACGTCTGGGAGGCAAGAACGCGGACACGAAGCTCCCGGCCAGCAGCTTGAACGCACCCAAGATGATCCACTCCACAATTGCTGGAGGCTTTTCCAATCCAACAGCGCTCCTGATTGTGGGATCGATGAGTGCACAGATCCCAGTCTCGACCAGCGGCTGCACGGGGCGAGGAAATGCATCCAGCACCAGATGCTTGAGATCCTGGACGATGCTCTTGTTCTTGTCCGTGAAGATGGCGTTCTTGGCCTCGTAATCGCGAATGTACTCCCGCATCTCTGGAATGCTATCTGGGATGGTTGTGATGCCCATCCTCACGCCCACGTCGTGCCACACAACATACGCGGCCTCCTTCTCGCTGTCGGTCCACTTGCGGAATCCAAATCTCTCGGAGAAATCAATGGGGCTGACCACGTTGAGGCAGAGGACGTAGGCGAATTGGTCGTTTGGGATCTTGAATTTGTTGTGGATTCCATTCAATCTCCTCACCGCGTACGAGCCGCGATCGCTGTCGACGTGGTGGTGGATCATCTCGCTCACCAGAATGTTGGTCTCGGCGGCGCGCTTCTGCGGATCCTTGAGGCCGTACTTGGTCTTGAAGAGCAGATTTGTGATCCCCGGGATGCCGAGCGTGCGGATTGTGCCAAACTCGAGCGCCTTTTGCGAGAGGAAGGGGAATTCCACCGAGTACATGTACCACAAGATCTTGTGTGCGTCTCTCATGGGGTGGAGCGACGCTAGAAATCGTGCCCTCTCTTCTCTCTTGCGGATACACACCATCTTCCATGCTGCAGCCATCACGAGAAACGCAATCATCAACATGATTGCAGCCATTTCGAAATGGTGAAAACTGTTTGATCGATCTGATCAACTTGATTGGAGAATGTTTTCTACTCCTCTGTGGGTTGAGGAAACAGAGGCTGGAGAAGGGTCTTTTATACTATCAGAGCTATTAGAGATCATATTTCACGTTTTTTATTTCCGTGTGATCCGTATTCTGTACGTTACACACATAGCCACATGCTTGTAGAGAAATCTTGTTGTTTTATACGGTGCATGTTTTCCATACAGTTATCTGGTCCATGCAATTTATCGGTCCTACCAACTTGAACGTTTCACGTTTAGAACTGGATTCTGGTTCCTTAATTACAAAAGATGCAGTAGAAACCAGAGATAAACCATATTTAAATTAGTATATTCGTTATTTACCAAAGTTGTTTCTCTTAAACTAATATAAAGTTTAATCTAGCATAATTTCAAGAAATACCATATAATATAATATCTCGGTTTATTCATATTTATAAAGAGATTTAAATAAATAATGTATTTTTATTGTAATGAATAATGTAGAATTTTCTAAAAGGTATATGGTCAAGTTGATTTTCTTTTATATTATTTATTTTTCAATTTAAAGTCATGGTTATTATAGATCAACTTCTATGCATTTTCTAATATTAGTACATGCATTGGTCCCATTTACCATATGTTTCTTAGGCTTTCAACATTCCAAAAGTTCTTCTTTGTTTTAGTCTGTCGTCTTCAAGTGATGATGCAGTTGACTACATTTCTAGCACATCACAGGTTCAGGAGGTTCACAATAGCAAGTCTCATTCATCAGATCAAACTCTTGACAACGTATGTAGCAAGTTCTTGAACTTACACCCAGGTATAGTTTCCATTATAACCAAAACTTTCCTTTAACATTGTAAGAATGCTATAGCAACCACTGAGCTTGGGGATAATAATGACGCAGCTGTGAACTGTGTTGCAACGAAACCTAATGTCACCAAGCACCACGACATTCCTAGTATGTATTACTGACATTTTTGCTTTTTTGATTAATCAAAGTTAATGTAAAGTCAAGTGGTGCTCCTCACAATAGTGGTATGCTACACTTTTTCTTTCAAATGATATTTTAATTTGCATTTTAGTTGGCAAAAGTTTTAATAGCATACTTGACATTAGTGGTATGTTTATTTCATGCCAACCATGCAACACCTACCACTGTGATGGCATTTATTTCAACAGGTACATGGTTTTCTCTTAACATGGTTTCTTACAAAATTCTTACGAAACTACATGTGGATTACTTCACTTCAACTTTTGATTCAATGGTAGCACTATGTAAAAAAACATTTTTTGGGTGATATTTTCTTACTATTTTTTGACACAGCAAAGCGTGACATTAGTGACATATCACAAGATAATCTGTGGTGTTCTATTACAAGTAGCATTTTCAAACCAGTGGCCACTCTTTAGTGGATCAAATTGCTAACTTGCAGCTGCTATCTAGAGCTCGCCATTGCTACTATACACCCTATCTTGCTATGGAACTTATGATGGCTTCTGCAACAGCTTGTGGAGAACTAGCTCTACCACCTCCCCCAATGTTGACTTCACTGATATTGGTGGTGTTCATATTGCTACAGCTTCTCTTTCTCAACATATTGCTGATATGTTTGGTGGTCTATTCCTTTAGATTTGCTATTGATATTATTGCTTCCTCCCTGGTTTGTGAGTTCCCACCACTGAGGCCACCTATGCTTGATATAATTCCTATATCCAACTTGGTTCTTTTGCATGATCTCACGCTAGAAACCACATGATCAGCATTTTGCACTGTTGCAGCATACTTCCTCAGTTGACCTAAATGAGCAGAGCAGAAACATGCTAACGACTTTGAGTATATTTACAAGGTGTGCTTGAGCTTTCAATACAGCTGTTAATAATAACTACCATACTCTGGTTCAAGTTGCAGCATGTATGTCTTTCGTGTATCATAAAGTCAAATCAGAATGGTTTGGACGTCACATGCCACTCAAAATATTTCACGACATCGAAGGAACAAGTGATCATAATATTTCCAAGATTGGACCTCCAACTATAGTTTACAATGTGCCTGGACTAGCACCATGGAATGCAATTCATGACCACTTGAAATCCATAACTTCTATGTATCAAAGAGACTTTAATGGGGTATGTATGTCATATTTATTTGTTCAATGGCTTATATTTATTCATTTAAGATAAAGGGATGCTTAATTCCTTTTGCCTCTCGAGACATCTCTGTGTCCTTGGGCTGGTGTGTTTGCCACAAATTTTGGCTATCTAGGATTAACTTGCAGATTGGACACTGCATTGAGTGCAACAATGACCATCCTTTTTTCATGGTTATATGTGTACATGGTCGGTTGATATCCACTTGTAGCAACTCAACACAGCACGTAACAATGGACAATGCTCTCATTGACTGTGTATATGGCTTGATGGCCATCACCTTTCTTCAAATGTTTACTTCAAATGATCTATTTCAAAGGAAGATTATTTTTACAAGCCAAGAAATCTCCTATCAAGACCTTGCCATCATCACTGCCATCTTCGGCTTGAGCACTAGTTTTCTTTCAACACCCATTGTCTCCTCCAATTCAGACAATGAGCTACAAGCCAGCATCCGAGGAAACAGATTAGGTACTAGCCTATATGTGGAATCTGTCAGACACAAGGCTTGCATATGCAGGACAATTGCCTACACAAGCTTAAGCCAAGTAGAAAGCAATGCAATTTTCATCCAACAAGCTGCACCAAAATCTAAAGTTATGACATGGGCACAACAGCATTAGCATATGGAGAACTCTATATTTCATGATGTTGAGGAGGAGGAAAAACTCTGTATTTGATGATGCTGAGGAGGAGGAAAACCTAGAGAAAATCACAAGAAAGAACTGCAAGGATAAAAGAGAGAGTGAGCAGCCAAGATCAGATCCTCCAGCTACAATTAACCAAGATAAACCAGTCCCTGATCCCAAAATAACTACCCTAGCTAATCTGTCACACAAAAAGTGGAAACACAGCCCTACAACATTCTTCAAGACTTGGACACTCAACACTTGAATATCACATGCACTCAGCTCTCACTCAGGTGTATAAAATTTATTTTTATATTCATCCAGTATTTGCTGGGCAAGTACTAATTCAATTATATTGCAAGATGTATGTTTGAAAATTTCTATCTATAAAGATTATTTTGTGAGTCACAGATCTCAAACAGAGTCCCCTTTTAAAGCTAAAGTTACCAATAAGAAAACTGTAGAAGTGTATGTTTCCTTGTAACTCATGCCACTTTTGTCCAAGCAAAGAGGCTGCCACCATGGCAAACTACTTATGGTGTTTGAAGATGAGGACAAGATCATTTCCTGAGATCCCAAGAATCTCAAAGGTAGAGAATAAAAGTGGGAAGCAATTTCACATCAGCATCTGCAGTGTGCTGTGAGGCTGGGTCATGTGCATGTGCTTGTTTTGCATTGTGAGGCTGCCATTAGCAAGCAAAGAGTAACCAGGTTGTGTTAGCAAGAGATCAGGGAAGCATTGCACATGTTAGATATACTAAGTTTGTTCATTACACCTTTCTAGGGTAATACAAGCTTGCATAAAGCAGCAACACAACTCCTGCAATCTAGGGATGTCTGCCACTTCCTAAGAAAGATCTTGTTCCAAGTCTCTTTGTTGTTTGGTAGTTGCTCTGGCTGACAGGCTGGGTGACAAATATTTGACTTATTCCACACTATGAGCTGCCCAGACGAACATCTGGGCAGTCTCAAAGGATTGCAAGATTGTGACAGTGATCCAAGTTCTTCCTAGAACCTTTCATGTCTAGGTTCTTTGAGCTCAATGGACTTTGTCTAAACTTCAAAAGCTTTGCTAAAGCATTGTTTCAAACCATGTAGATTGTGGCAAGCAATGTCAGATCGAAAATCGAGGTGGAATCACCCAGTCGGTGACCGCGATCATATACGGCAATGCCGTCATCACCAAAAGAGAGTCACCAAAGTCAGACGAGGTGGAGGGGGGCAGCTCATAAGAAACAGAGGGATGCAGGTTTTGGTTCGTCTTTGGAACACATTAGGGCTCTGCTCAAGGAGTTGCTCCCACAGCACAACTCGCAGCGCTACAGCAAGAAGCACCACTATTCCAAGTGTCACCTAGCAAGATTACTGAAGAGCAATTTAAGAAGCGGTACAGGCTCCCAGATGCCACGCCTCCCTATGATCGGTAAGGATTCTTGACCTCGTCTTGTGTCTAAGTTTCTCGACATTCCAGGTATAATCGAAAGATGTTTCCAGGAAGGGAGAGCGCCGTGCGTGTAGTTGGAGGTTAAAGATGTGTACGCCACATTGGTTTTCCAAGACAAGGGCCGGCAAGCATTTTCTCTAGGCTCTTGTGTTCATTTGCCCTTTTCATGCTGTACAAGGCAGAGTGTAAGCACGATGAGCAAGAACCAGAGTGGCGGGAGTTCCAGTTAGAGATGGGCTTAGAGTTGGAGGAGGATGAGGAGGCACAGGATGAGGAGGCCGTTTTTCTGGACCTGGAGTTTCCACATGATGGCATTGATCAACCTACTAACGATGTCACCTCCTCTGAGGAGGGCTTGATTGGCATTCCGATCCTGGATTGCGTACACTAAGATTGGGAATTGATGTGAAGCACCGCGATCTGCTATGTAAAGCTGGTTAGTATCTGAAATCTGCGTTAAGATCTGGTACAGGTTTTCATGTACGTGGATCACTGCCAGCTTAGAGAAGCAAGCAAGACCTCCAACATATCTTCATGTATGTACCAGTTTCTAGTTTCGTGTTTTGAAATCAATTTCTGTTTGTTTTGTGTATGCCATGGACATGAGGGAATGGCGATATGCCATTTCTGAGATCGATGGATATGTGCAGGTCAAGGGAAACCAGCTGGTTGAAGCTTCTCTGCATTCGTTCCCTGACTCACCCAGAGAGCCGATATCGGAAGAGGCCTTCACGAAGCAGGAGGTTCGGGATAAGTTTGCAGCCTGGGGAGCATCCTTGTTATCGAAGGACCTTACGATTCCGGATGGGTTGCACCCTGTTGGCCGGTTGTACTACTGCTCCAAGGTGAGTTTTTGTCGTGTGTTTAAAGTCTTTTGCCTTGAACGTACCAAGGTGTGTTTTGTTCGTGTGTTTAGAGTCTGTTGCCTTGCATAGGCATGGGGGATGCCGAGCTTTGAAAGCGGCTTTGCAGCCATCTCAGTGGGAGAGCTCAAGTTGTACTCGGGTATCCTGATTGGCCAGTGAGTGTGGCGCTGGACTCCAAGGAAAGTTTGGCAGTTTGCACCTGATGGTGGGCATGCGCCGTGCTGAGGCCCCATGGATTAACGTGAAGTTTTCTCGTGGAGGTAAGCTTTTGACCTTTGTTCCTTTCGCTTGACAAGCTTTTCCTTCTCTTAGGTGTAAAGTGAGCGTGTCAACTTAGACTTCTAACTACAACCTGTAATATCTTAGAATCATTGTCTTTAGCCAGAGCGTGTTTCTAAATTGTTTGGATCCCATATTGTTCTGCAAAAATTACAAAAAGATTCACGTAAACTACGCATTTTCAAATGATGCTTTGTTCTCCAAACGAATGTCCTATGCCCGTTCTATTTCTATGCGTGCATTTGCCGGAAGGGGCAGCGCAAGCCTCCATCGTAGTATGGTCCAAGCTTGCCTGATTTCAGCGCTCCCAGCTCCGCCAGCTTGTATCCCTTCTCGAATGCTGGTGGCCGATACACATTCACGTTGAGCTGCCGGTACTCTTCCGGATTGGCAGCGGGATTAGGACACCAGTCCACCTCAATGCTGCCCTCTGCATCCTCCACACGTCTGGGAGGCAAGAACGCGGACACGAAGCTCCCGGCCAGCAGCTTGAACGCACTCAAGATGATCCACTCCACAATTGCTGGAGGCTTTTCCAATCCAACAGCGCTCCTGATTGTGGGATCGATGAGTGCACAGATCCCAGTCTCGACCAGCGGCTGCACGGGGCGAGGAAATGCATCCAGCACCAGATGCTTGAGATCCTGGACGATGCTCTTGTTCTTGTCCGTGAAGATGGCGTTCTTGGCCTCGTAATCGCGAATGTACTCCCGCATCTCTGGAATGCTATCTGGGATGGTTGTGATGCCCATCCTCACGCCCACGTCGTGCCACACAACATACGCGGCCTCCTTCTCGTTGTCGGTCCACTTGCGGAATCCAAATCTCTCGGAGAAATCAATGGGGCTGACCACGTTGAGGCAGAGGACGTAGGCGAATTGGTCGTTTGGGATCTTGAATTTGTTGTGGATTCCATTCAATCTCCTCACCGCGTACGAGCCGCGATCGCTGTCGACGTGGTGGTGGATCATCTCGCTCACCAGAATGTTGGTCTCGGCGGCGCGCTTCTGCGGATCCTTGAGGCCGTACTTGGTCTTGAAGAGCAGATTTGTGATCCCCGGGATGCCCAGCGTGCGGATTGTGCCAAACTCGAGCGCCTTTTGCGAGAGGAAGGGGAATTCCACCGAGTACATGTACCACAGGATCTTGTGTGCGTCTCTCACGGGGTGGAGCGACGCTAGAAATCGTGCCCTCTCTTCTCTCTTGCGGATACACACCATCTTCCATGCTGCAGCCATCACGAGAAACGCAATCATCAACACGATTGCAGCCATTTCGAAATGGTGAAAACTGTTTGATCGATCTGATCAACTTGATTGGAGAATGTTTTCTACTCCTCTGTGGGTTGAGGAAACAGAGGCTGGAGAAGGGTCTTTTATACTATCCGAGCTATCAGCCACGTTTTTTTATTTCCGTGTGATCCGTATTTTGTACGTTACACACATAGCCACATACTTGGAGAGGAATCTTGTTGTTTTATACGGTGCACGTTTTCCATACAGTTATCTGGTCCATGCAATTTATCGGTCCTACCAACTTGAACGTTTCACGTTTAGAACAGGATTCGGTTACAGATTTTATAAAAGATGCAGTAGAAACCAGAGATAAACTATATTTAAATTAGTATAACCAAAGTTTTTTTGGTTGTTTCTCTTAAACTAGTATACAGTTTAATCTAGCATAATTTCAAGAAATACCGTATAATACAATATGGTTTCTCGGTTTATTCATATTTATAAGAGATTTAAATAAATAATGTATTTTTATTGTAATAAATAATCTAGAATTTTCTAAAAGGTATATGGTCAAGTTTATTTTCTTTTATATTATTTATTTTTCAATTTAAAGTCATGGTTATTATAGATCAACTTCTATGCATTTGGTATAAAGCTCTTGGAGCGGCCATACCAGATGGATGACATCACTGGCAGCTAGATCCATGGAGTGGGCTGCTCGAGGGTGAAGCTCGATTCAGGCCTGGCTGCCCATCAAGAAGGCTGTTGACCTGGACATTGGGTAACTGTGACTTGAAGTGATTTGGCAGCTTCTTACTACCACGAGGGTCTCTTGAAGCTTAACAGCACAAGCTTGGTTAAGAGTAATTGCAACAGTAATGTTGTCCCCAAACATGGCACGCGCATGGTTAGGGGTTTACTAAGCTAGGAACAAACGGTTGACACTCTTTGTAATAAATTGGAATTGCCATATTTTATCATAAATTGGAAAGTCATAATAGAAAAAGCCTTACAGTTTGCTCCCTTGCTTTCCACGTTGACAGCTCCAACATATATATGCTTGGTGTAGCAATTGCCCTTTGATTCAACGGTAAGCAGCAGCCTGTTCTGCTTCTCCAATTTGGTGAGAATCTCGGTGAGTGCACTAAGGAGATGCATCAGGCTGTAGTGTTGCTGCTGCTACTCTTTGGATTGTTTGGATCATTCTTCTGCAACAGCAGCAGCTGCCTCCATGCAATGTGTCAATATTAGGACATGCATTGGGCACATTTACCATATGTTTCTTAGGCTTTCAACATTCCAAAAGTTCTTCTTTGTTTTTGTCTGTTGCCAAGGATGGAAAGTACAGTGTTGTCTTCAAGTGATGATGCAGGTGACTACATTTCTAGCACATCACAGGTTCATGAGGTTCACAATAGCAAGTCTCATTCATGAGATCAAACTCTTGACGACATATGTAACAAGTTCTTGAACTTACACACAGGTATAATTTCCATTATAACCAAAACTTTCCTTTAACATTGTAAGAATGCT